CCAGCCATTTTGTAAAATCCATATGGATGTTCTTTGTAATCAAACGTAACATTTCTCTTAGTTGCTCTTCATAATATTTGTACACCAGCATACCCAAGATTGCCACAATCTGTCAAAAGCATGGAGTAAGTCATATTGAACCTTTTATACTAATATCTAATTTTACCTTGAAATATTAGATTTAGTACAGAATAACCCAAGTTCACGAAATGAATGACCCATATGTACATTCATCTCCTGGGTGTTTCTTGTACTGAACTCTTTCTACGAACCTATTATGAGGATGATATTGATCTATGGTTGAACCATTTCACAACAAACTTCAGTCTCTCATTCTCTCAACATGTCGAGGTCCATAAAAAGAACAGAAATGGACTTATTTTTTCGTGCATATGGCTAAATAATGTGTAATCTTTAAAGGCACCTCAAGGTGTAAGTGTTAATTTACACAAGAAACCTGGAAAATTATGCCTAACAAGATGTATGATGTGCGATAAAGAATAAGATCAGTCTCTCATCTTTTCTTGGACTTTGTAGTGGGGGGACTTTATGTGTTTAGAAATGATTCTGTAATCTCTTGTCTAGACTGCCAGTTTCAAAGTTCTTGCCAGGACCTTAAGATGCCAGAGTTTTTTTTTCTTTTTTTGTTGGAGTTCAGTCTAGTTGTTTGGCTCGAATAAACCTGCAGGTGGATCTATAAAGAGAAGGCAGCTAGCTTACAGCAGTCAGCAGGTCATGTCTATCACTAAAACAGTGAGATGGCATTGGGTCGCAAAGGAGTTCATTGTAAAAGTTGTTCGATTCGTTATGCTCATGCTAAGGTGAAAAGCTGTTGATGTTATTTTCCATATAAAATTTCATATATGCCATCTTAACTACCAATGACTTGCCCCATAAAGTCAAAAAACTTACAATCGACAATCTGCAGCAGAGAAGAATGATCTTGGTGAAGAGGTATTCTCTGTTGTCAGAATTCTGACGCAAATCAATAGTTCTTCTTAGATTGTCCTATTGTTCAGATTTTTAAGGTGGTTCCTGGGAGAATTTAGATGCAAAATTGGGCTGAATGTTGGTAATATCGAGTTGCTTGACAATGGGCAGTAGGCTATAAACCGTAGGTCCGTACATGCGGAAAGTTCTGCATCATTCTGTATGTTGGGGGGTATGGATGGAAAGGAACAGGAGAACCTTGAAGAAAAATGCATGTCAATAGAGTCGTATATGACACCGGTGTGAAAATGGATTTTCTTTTTGTTTGTGCTATGAATGAGGGATATTGCCTTTGAGTTTTGATGTGTAGATGGGGAGATGTAATTTTTTTATGCACATTGTGTAAAAATATGTGTGACAGTTGTTGCTGCCTAAGCACACTGCACACAACTAAGGTTATTATCAAGATAGCAATAAGAGAGTATATTGAAATTTATACTGTATGTATCAAATAGATAATAGTCTCAAAACATAACATATGTAATACGAGTACTTGTTTTGTACACCAATCGAATCTTCTTTAATAGGTTTCGGATTGGGATGGTTTCCTTCGTTGTTGGACTAACTAAAACTATTTACCAAGACCACGTATCAAAACTGGTTTGCTGTGGCAAAATCTGTTATCAAATGGGTCCTTTGATCATAGGGGAGTAACTGAAAAAATCTAAGGGACAGTAGCTTAAGTTTTAGCAGTGACAAATGGGTTTTGAAAAGTGGCTGGATCTGTGCTTATATTGTTGCTTTGGCAAGATCTGCATGTTTTCTATTTGTTGCTATCTAAATGCTCTCAAAGGACACTGACAGTAAGGAATATAGAAATAGATTACCTAAACTAAGTCTGAAGATGTATATTAGAAATACATTTTTGATGATTTCACTAGGTGATTTTATCAAGAATCTACTAACTACCTATATGTCATGATGTTGCAGTGAGACTAATGAAGATGAGGATACTGATTAATAATCGTTTCTGTTGGGTTTGAGGAAATAAGAGAATAAGGTGATTTTATCAAGAATCTACTAACTACCTATTTTCTTTCTGTTTATCAACAACACTTTCAAACTGCATCAAGGTGTTATTGTTGTAAGGCTCTTTTGTTTTCATTTCTCGATTTTTGAAGGTTGTCATAAGAGAATTAACAGTTTCACAATTGGTACTATGTCACTAAGGGATGTATGTCAAGTTGTGTTTTCATTTAAGCACAGTCTGCCTAAGTTATATGGATACAACTGTCCTAATGTTAAGTGACACTGTAGTGGGAGTTTTCTATCGGATTTGCAAGGATTAGTCCGCATTTTGATATCCAATTTGTCTTGAAAGATACTTGGGAATTGAGATCATTATTTTGTTTGAGAAACTCATGCATTCGTTATTAGTAGATGTGGCTTCAAACTTAGAGAAAATTATCACTCGCAAGTTGCTAGATGTCATTCTATATATGTAAAACCTGTTCAATTCTGTCATTAGATGGGATGTTATTACTTATTAGCATGAACTTTCGCAGTAAAGATAGAAGAAATCTTTACAGACCTGCGAAATGCTTGAGCCAATATCAGCTGGAACGATGGCTGGTGCCGAAACTTGGAATGACACTCCCCTGAAGTTTGCCAAAGATGAGAGGTAATTTGAGACAACGCATTGTGTTGTTATGATGATTTAGAATGACAAAGACTGAACAATCCACTGCAATCTCATACCAACGGAATGTGGACATCTTCTTTGCTTCATAGACACCAATATGAGAGCAAGCCCTCCAAAAACGGGTATGAGCCCTCCAAAAACGAGGGATATGCTGCTTGGTATTGTGAACACACGGTATTCTTTAGTAAAAGGCGAAAGAATAGCTCGTTTTGTGTTCACCATGTAGCTGTGTGAGTAGGAAAACATTTAAGGTCTTTCATTTTATAAAAGTTGTTTGTAGACAAACAGGCTTCACTTGCAAGCTGCGACTAAAAGTTCAGAAACCCACCCTGACAGACATGAAATCTTGTGCATGTAGTTGTGCTTCTGTCATTTTTCCATTCCTATGTATGTGCATGTTAAAGTCAAAATATGGAACTGCAGAAAATGGAATGGGTTGCCATGTTACAGGTTACTATATTGAATGAAAAATATGGAATTCTCGTGTTCGAAATGTTTATAGGTGAGATGAAATTCTGGAAGACTGCGCACAGTTACTATATTGAATGAAAAAGAAGGGAAAGCTCAAGTAAATTTCCAACAATCTAATTAACCTGCAACAACGGTTTAGAGTGAAAATGATATATGGTTTCAACCCATTTTTCCAAAACGGGAGGGTTTATTTTTGAATTTCAAGCGCTGAATTCTTGTGGTAAACGAAAGGGGGATTTAGCTTTTGGTCCTTGTAGAACATGTATAATGAGCTTTTGGTCCAAAAATGATGTGTAATGAGCTTTTGGTCCTCCATCCATTTTTTTAATAATACCCAAACTACCCATCACTTGCTAAATAAGTAGGACCAAAGGCTCATTATATATTGTTC